AATTGCAGATGTACCTCAGAAAACTTTCACTTAATGTCTCATACTCTACATGAATATTAAACCAATACGAAGTACAACAACATATGTAGGACTTATTTCTTCTGTCACTTTCATCGTAAAAATATCTCCTCTTCAATTTGAAATAAAACCAGTGACAATCCGCATGGTATCCTACATGCGTTCGTAAGCTTGCTAAAATACTACTGCGTTGGTGTCCTCTTGTAAAAGCTGAATTCCAACAAATGCTTTGATCCATGCTACATCTCCGTGTTGGAAAAGCCCTTTCATCTCCGTTCATGATAACATCTTACCCTATTCTACGCAAATCTGTCACATCTACTCTCAAACAAGACGCCAACTTCAAACGAAAACGCGTTCTACGATGCGTCTACACTCCATCCCCATATCATTGGCGTTGACTGGTCCGAGGTNATCATTCGATAACATTGTTGTTTGTTGAAGAGGAGTGGCCCGATAGGGACGCTTTTTGTTTTTCAAAAGTGAGCTGTTTAGAGGGGGTGTACTCATAGTACTCATAGTCGTGCATGCCGTAGTCGTTAGACCATTGACCTCGCATTCCTACAAAGCCGGGACGGAGCACGCCGGGTTATCACCGGATCAGGCTCTCATATCACCCAGCGCAAAGCGCCGAAAGGTATTCGGCGAATCGCATGAAGGGTGAGCGGCATCGTGCTAAGGGTGTTCGGCATCTTGTGCTTACTTCCTTGCGTACGGATGACAGCTGCGTATGAATTAATTTATTTTCTGGTGCTTTCACTTCCAGAGACAGTTGTAAGCACTGTGTAACTGCCTCGAGGGTGCTTGACCATTTCAACACAACGTGGTGCGATCATCCCCCTTGCGCGGAGTGAGGGTTCTCCACCCCGCACAACATGATCTACTCGACCACCATTCATTATGGTTACCGCCAAAAAAAACGCCAGAGGAAAAAAGAAAAAAACGGTGACCTTGGTTGCCGAGTTCACGAAGTGAATTGGCTTGTTTTACAACGTCGTTGCCAAGCGACGAAAACCCGATCCCGGTGGAGGCGGGTTTCCTTGAACGCTTTTTAGATTTCTCGATCAAAGCTCGAACCAACAAGCGAAGCACAACAGCAGACATTTTTTTGTTTTAGCTGCTAGCCCTGTATATTTATGTAATACCACACCCCTTCCTCCCCCCCGGAGTCACATTGATTGGCGCCCCGGTGTTTGCCATCGGGGTTGGTTTTCGTCGCTTGGCAACGAAGTTGT